CTGATGAACCTGCCCTTGGGCTTCTGGGGGGACCACAGAATCAGCACAGAACTCTCCGGAGCTGGAGGCCTTTGACACAGTGCCATGACAAACTTAAGGACAACAACAATAATAATACACACGTGTTGACGGAGTGGTCCTCATTCTTAAAACTAGAATGCACTGAGACCAAAAGGGAGAATGTCACCTCCACAGTTACTATGGTGTATTTCTTTACTTTTCTGTATATGTAAAATCAGGAACCCTACTTTACTTGCTCAACATAATAGTGATGCTTTTTATTTTTTTAGTTAAAAATCTTTTACTTGTATATATTAATTGTACACAGTAGTATGTGATTTAAGGGCATTTTAACACAAGTACGCATTGTATGTTGGACACATTTGTCCTATTATGCTCCTGTACCTTTCCCTTACTCCCCTCCCCCCTTCCCATAGTCCCCTTTGTTCCCCTACATAGTCTAACTGCTATTGTCATGTCATCTATATATGACTTATGAACCTACTTAAAACCTAGGAACCACTTACTCTCTCCAGTTGCATCCATTTTCCTGCGAACAATATAACTTGATTCTTTTTATGGCTGAAAAAATCATATATACATATTTTTTCTTTATCCATCCCTCTGATGGTCAGCTTGGCTTTTTCTATAGCTTAGCTGTTACAAATAGTGCTGCAGTAGATACTCAGACATCTCTGTGATGTGTTGGCTTGGAGTCCTTTGGGCAGGTACCCAGACTGGACCTGCCCATACAGAAGGTCTGTTTTCAGGTGTCTTCTAAAGTTCTACACAGAGCTCCAAGGCACCCCACCAGCAGTGTGGAAGGAATTCCTTTTGCACAGATCTTTGCCAATGCTTGTCATTTATTTCCAATTGTCATTTTGACGCTAGTGAGATAGGACATCAATGTAGTTTTCATTTGCATTTCCCCCGTGGTTAAGGATATTGAGCACTGTTGAAAGTATTGATTGGCCATTTGTATTTTTCTCTTGAACTCCCAATTTATACATTTAGCGTAGCAACTAAATGTATATATTTCATTGGCAACTGGGTGGCTTGTTTTCTTATTGCTTGGGGTTTTGAGTTCTCTATAGTCTATGTATTCTCTATTAGATGTAAAGCTAGAAAATATTTTTCCGGCATCCTTCAGGCTGTCTCTCCACTCAGTCAACTATTTCCTTTCCTGCACAGAAGCTTTGCAGTTTTCTGAAGAACTGTTTATCAACTATTGTCCTTATTTTCTAAGCAACCAGACTCCATTCAGAAAGTCCTTGCCCGCGTCTGTATCTTGAAGTTTTACCTGCTTTTTCCTTCAGCAGTTTAAAGTTTCCACTCTTGCATTAAGGTCAATATGTAGTTGATATTTGTACAGGGTGAGAGATGTGAATCAAGTTTAATTCTTCTACATATATCTACATGTAGACAATTGTCTCAGAATCATTTACTGGTGAAGCAGCCTTTTCTTCAATGCATATTTTTGGCATCTTTGTCAATATCAGGCTTAAATCTATATAGGTTTATGTTTGAGACTTCTATTCTATTATATTTTGTGCCATCACCATGCTATTTTTCTTGAAGAATAACTTGAGATCAGGTATGCTGATACCTATAGTGGTATTATTTTTGCTCATGATCACTTTACTAGCTGGGATCTTTGTGTTTCCTGTTTCCATATTAATTTTAAAATTTTCTTACTGTTTTTGTGGATAATGACATTGGGATTTTGATGGGGATTACATTGAACATATAGACTGTTTCTTGGCAATTCAACAACTTTCATAATACTAGTTATCCCAGTCCATGATCATGGAAGCCTTTCCATCTTCTGGTGTTTTCTATTTTTCCTTTGGTAATTTACAGTTTCATTATAAAGGTCTTTCACTTCCTTGGTTAGGGAGGAAGTAGAAATAATATAAGAACAGAAGATAGTGGGGAGAGCCAGGACATGCTGATGACTACTGGGAATGAGGGCTTCGTTTTCTCCAGTGGTGTAGCTGCTGCTAAGTTATCGCTGCTTCAGTCAAAACCTCCCACATTTGCAGTCAAGAGACTCTAATTCAACTAAGTGGGTCACACACAAGAAGACAATGTGAAGGCAGGAAGGAACAGGAGACTCAGCAGGGAAGGGAGGGTGAAGAGGGAAATGGGGATGGAAAGGACTGAAAGTTACTATAGGAAAGTAGGAAACTATCTAACAATAAAGAACTTTAAATCAAGCAACATGGTGTCTCAAGGCTGCGCTGGTCACTGGTCACATGCTGAGGGTTTTTCCAGAGGCCTCTTTCCTTCCTCTGTAGCTACCAAAAGTAGCAATTCCCCCTCCTTCTCCTCCCCCCTCCCTCTCTTCCCCTCCCTCTCTTTCCCCCTCCCTCTCCTTCCCCCTTACCTCCCCCTCCCTCTCTTTCCCCCTTCTCCTTCCCCCTCTCTCTTTCTTTACTCCCTCTTCCTCCCCTCCCCCCTCTCTTTCCCTCCGCCTCTCTCTCTCTCTCTCTCCTCCTTACCTTTCCCTCTCCACCTTCCTTCCCCCTTTCCCCACATCTCTCTGTCACTGAGAGTACAGTAAACATAAATGTTTTCTTTGGATTTTTATTTCAATATCTCTTCAGCACCTGCCATGTGAATGAGATACTGTGTTCGGCCCTATAGAGGTTTAAATAGGCCTTAGCAGCAAAGGGATCAATCCCAGATGGACGCTGGGCACATGGAGACGGTAGGACATGGCCTGGAAGAGTCACATGTAGAGAATGAGCTTGAGGCTAACAAGAGTGGCCAAAATTAAATCAGCATGCATGTCTGGTGTCTGTTATACTGGAGACACCCAAGATTCCTTGATACAAGTGTACAGTTTCCAGGGTTTTCCTGAATTCCTAGAAAAAGCCCAAGGTAATTCAGGAAGGCTAATTTTAGTGGGCTGCTGTGGGATGTTCTGTATGGCAAATGTGTTGCTCTGATTGGTCAATAAATAAAACACTGATTGGCCATTGGCTAGGCAGGAAGTATAGGCGGGACAAGGAGGAGAATAAAGCTGGGAAGTGGAAGGCTGAGTCAGAGAGACACTGCCAGCCATCACGACGAGAAACAGCATGTGAAGATGCCGGTAAGCCACGAGCCATGTGGCAAGGTATAGATTAATGGAAATGGATTAATTTAAGCTGTAAGAACAGTTAGCAAGAAGCCTGCCACGGCCATACAGTTTGTAACCAATATAAGTCTCTGTGCTTATTTGGTTGGGTCTGAGTGGCTGTGGGACTGGCGGGTGTCAGAGATTTGTCCTGACTGTGGGTCAGGCAGGAAAACTCTAGCTACAGTGGGCCATCCTCTAATCAGTCTTTATGTCAGAGAGATCCATGTTTTTAAAGTGAGTACTGTCATTAATCCTATTGCCCCTGATGCCAACAGACAGAAGTGGACACTGGGTATGGTGCTGGCATGCAGCATAGAGAGGCCTACTATATAGTACCATCACACGAAGGCCTTAGCCAACCTATCACAAAGAGGTTAGGATGTCCTATAATATGGCTAGATGACCAGGGGAGTAGCAGAGAACATATCCAGTGCCTTGGTATTTTCAGTTTCTTTTCTCCACATTGGTGTTTTCATTTTCTAAGAAGCATACCCTGTACCAGGTAGCCTGGCCACCAAGAACAGTTGGAGAACATCATCTTCCTTTGGGTTATTGCTGTGCACTCTTAGTTACCCACCAGCCTGTGACCTAAGACACATGCTTGCTGTCCTCTGAACTTGAGCCAAAGGAGCAGGATTTCAGGCAGACACTAGAGGGCGGTTTCAGTGTCTACCCATGGAGGATGAGTGGAGTTGGCTTGGAGCCCTTCTTTGTGGGAGCTCTGACTCCAGCTCAAAGAAGGAGGTCATCCCACTCCTCCTCTCCTGCCACCCCACCCACAGGCCCGCAAGGAGGAAAAGGAGCTCACCAAACAATAGACAAAAGTTACACAGTGACCGGGTTCCTGAATATCCACCTAAAAAGCCGAGGCTCATATTTCCCATGAGGCTTCCAATTGCTGTTGCTTCTATCTGAGAAGTCTCCTTCCTCTGTGTGTGTGCATATATATACATATATATATGTTCACTGCTTCAGCACAAAGATGGCCTAATCAGTGACCTAGGGTGGGCATTTATTCCGGATTCAGATGAGATGAAAGAGTAGGAAATGGAGTTTTCCAGTGAGTGTGCCAGTGACTGAGCAGGAGATTTTAGAACTGTCCAGGGGCAGGTCAAGGAGGGGAACAGAGGGACCTGCACATGTACACTGAGTCTGGGATGCCAGTGCTGGGAAGCAATATGTGGTATGCTCCCTCCCCAAACCTCAAGTTGTGCCTATCTGCCTTCCAAAGATACAGTGGTCCTTGGAAGTTTCATAACTATCTTCACTGGCGATGAGTTAACTTTCCATTTGCAGTGTATGCATACTTCAAAGGTGTAGCTAAATGCTCCCAAATGGATGCAAGAGAGCCAGGAGAAGAGAGCCAGGAGAGGAGTAGGGAAGTGGTAGATGGAGTGAGTTGGCCCGGCAGTGGTTACATCAGCAGTGCTGTTAAGATTCCGCAGGGCTGTTGATGCTCTGCTGGGGACAGAATTTATAGAGGGGCCACTCACTCAGGGACAGGGACGCCAGCACACACAGCTGTCAGGGAGCAGAGGTTCAGAATACGGTCTGCCAGCGCTGCTTACCGACCTGGAGGCAATGCCTTCGCTTTAGGACATTTGACTTCTCCATCGAGTGCCGTGGTGATGTCTTTGGGGGCTGTGGTAAAGACTGCATAAAGTAACATTTGAAAAGTAATTAGCCTAGCCATGGTGCAAAGTCTTATGGAGGACATCCAGTAACAACAAATTGCCTTTCTATAAATTAACTCATCAAACATTAGTGGAATCGTTCATTTATTGCCTAGCTGTAGACTTCGATTCTAATTTTAGAAAAGACAGGTAAATCACAGGTGAAATGGGAGTTATAGTGTTATCTCATTTTGCTTCCATAGGAGGCCTGGAAATCTACACTGGAGAAGGCAAGACACATCCTCAAGAGGTCCTCTACCATGGTAAGCCATCAGCTGGTAGCAGGCCAGCCTTCTCCTTGGCGTGCTCTCCCTTCGCAGGCCCTGCTTTCGCACTCCAAATGCCAGAGGCGTCTCTGGACAAAGCCCAGCAATACTACAGTAGCTTTGGACTGAAATAGGAACATGAGCTCATTTCCATTTTCTGTCTCGTCGCTCTGCCTCCGCTCTATGGCAGGCAGTGCCAGCCCCAGGACTCTGACATTTAGGGCTGGCTCCTCTGTAGGAGCTGTCATGCGCTTTGTGGTATCAAACCCCATCTCTATCATCTGCCTGCTGCATGACAGCAACACTATCCATTACCCCCCTACTGTAACACTCTGATGATGTCACCAAATTGAGAACCCCCTACCCCCACGCCCCACTCCCACTCTCTGACAGACAATTCTAGAGAAAGTTATGGCCTCCTCTCTTCCTCTTTCTAAAGCACAGCATCAGGCAGTGTTTCACTTCACTGAGCCTGGGGTCTCCTGGCTGTAGGATTAGGACAATGATAGCATCTTCTGTAAAAGGACTAATGGAGCTTAGATATCCAAAGCGCCTGCTACCCTGCAGAGGACTTAGCACCCAGGAATGTGAAAGTCACCACCACTGCTGCTCAGCTCCATTCTGCCCTCTTCGTAATGACTCTTTCTCAATAGATAGAATGCTTAGCTCGAATCAGCCAGTTAAGTGTTCGACTTGGGCTCCTTTCTATGGAATTGTTGGAATCCTGCCTCAGCAATTACACTTTCAATTCTTGTAAGTGGGGCAAGGTGGTCCCAGTTGAAAGGGAAGTAGGAAAGTAGGCTGGATGCTGGGCACTGCGACAGTGAGGCCGCTCAGGCCTTGTCTCATCCCTGCCAGCATCCCTCAGCACTCACCATCAGGCAAAGCATCTAATAGTATTGATTTAGCAACTGAGAAACAAAGGGGAGAGGAAATCACTGACGTCAAGGCTGACCAGACTCAGCAACTGAAAATACAGAATGTCCAGTTACATTTAAATAATAAACAATGTCCAGTTACATTTAAATAATAAACAATGTCCAGTTACATTTAAATAATAAACAATCGGTTTTCTTCTGTGTGCCCTACACAATATTTTCAGATGGCAACCTGAAGGGATCCTATGAGTTTCTATGAACAAGGCTGAGCCAAGTTAAGTGGCATCACAGAGACACTTCTACGAAATTGGTTAATTGATCATGATGTCTGCTTCACCGCTCACTGCTCCGTTCACAGAATAATTAAGGGTCAGTAGTGGCCAGTTCAGCTAGTCTGCTTAAGATGTTGACTAAGAATCAGAAGCGCCACAAAATCCCCATGGCCACCAGCACCTACAGAAACCTGGGCAGAATGGAGGAAAACGCAGTTTGTCTTTTGTTCCACTCAGCTCAGGTTTAAGACTTATTTTAGGACATTGTTTATTTTACTGGCACAAACTGCCTTAGCACAAACTCAAAGGCTAATTAGGATTTTACAATTTTTTTATTTCTGTCACCAGACTCGAAAGCATAATTAGTGAGGCAGGATTCCAATTTCAAAAAAAAAGTGTGCCCGGGGGGGGGGGGGGGGGGGGGGGGGGGGGGGGGGGGGGGGGAATCCATGGACTGTCTCAACAATTAAGAAAAGAAAACTTCCCATAGAAGTTTCTCTTGATGTGTTTATACTCCAGATTAAAATAATTAGGAAAAAATGTGAGTGTCTTTGACAATCTGCTCAGGGAATATTGGCTGTAATTAATTCTACCTGATGGCTAGTGTGACTGCAGACCTACTAGCTAAGACCAAGAGAACTCTTCCTCACAGCCTTCTCCTATAAAAGCTGGACTGGGAGGAGCTGGGGAGATGGTTCGGAGGTTAAGAGCATGTACTGCTCTTGCAGAGGACTGGAACTTGATTCCCAGCCTCCATGTCAGACAGTCTACAAACCTCCTGTAACTCCAGCTCTGGGGAATCTAGCAACCTCTTCTGGTCTCTGAGGGCATTGCACTCTCAAGTACAAACCCACACATAGACACACATACACAGACATAACTAAAAAATAAGAATTAATCTTTGATAAAAGAATTATCTTTTTAAAAATCTGGACTGGAGAAAAGTTATATGTTATGGAAGGCATCAAAAGCTGCAGAAAAAGTGTGGATCTCAGGAAGGCCCAAGAGAATTTTTGAGTGTTTAGTAGAGACCATATACATCAATTGTTTAGACTACCTGAAATGTGGATATTTTACTTAATTTTCACCTGTAAAAACTGGATAGTTTTTCTCAACTCAATCAGTTCTCTATGTAACTAGTAACTAGTAATGGGTAATGCATCACATAAATCCACAAATAGCTCTTTTGAAATCCAGTGTGTCTACTATGCTGATAACTCCAACCAGGCCTCCTCAGTGCTGAACCTGAGGAGCACCTTTGTATTAGTCTCTGTGGATATGGAATTCTGCTGGGAATAGCCCGTGCTTCTGTACACAGAACACTAAGCACAGGTCTACCTGGCCAATATAGTCACCTGGGAAGCTAACACATGCCTGTGTTCAAATGAGTTCAAAACCCAGCCCAGAACAGTGAAATCCAGGTAATATAATACACACAGAGTCAAAAAACAATTGAATCAGAAATTTAATTTCAGGTTAGATGTGTATAGGAAAATGGTTTAATCCCATGCACGCACACTTTGACCTTGTTTATGTCATTCACCCCATGTTCTGTATTCAAGCCCCATTTGTTGCTCTGCATCACTTACCATCTGGTGAGGGAAGCTGGCTAGATTGCACTGTCCCCAGAGATTGTCTACATTCTACACCTTCCTTTCAGACGGGTTTGGATCCAGCCAAATTCAGAACTTTAAACCCTTTTCTGCATTATTAACGGACCACCTGTCTCTGTCTAGTGAAGTTCCCATTGAAAGGTGGGGTCTGGCAAGTGTATATAAGCAAGGACTTCTGTGGTATAGCTTGCATGTCTATCTCAGTTTGTCTTTGCAAGTACATTGGAGTTGGAAAAGTAGCTTGGGAACAATTGTCTGTGTCCCTTTGTGTGACACAAAGAGCAGATGAGAATAGCCCTGTCTGGACAGAAGAGGCAGAAGGACTCTGGACATGCTGCCTTGGCTACTGCATCCTTCCTGACCTCAGTATCTGTGTGATGAATAGCAAAGGCAGCTGCAGTCTTCCAGCTGGATTTTTGACAATGAACAATTGTGCAAGTATAAAATTTTATTCTATTGTACCGCTTGTGTAGTAATTATAAGACTGTTCATGTAATTTTATGTGTTGGTTATCATCAATGTTGAACTCTATGTTGTCATTAGAATAATTAGACAGGCTTTCAGACTAAGGCAAATACTAAGAGAAGTAGCTCCAACATCTGAATGCAGCTGACTTAAGTCTCAGAATGTGTCTGTGCTTGCAAACTGATACCAGTGTTTTGTATGAGGTCATGCTAATGTTTGCTCTATTATGTGTCGACAGTTCTGACCTCATTCAGACCCTAAGTCTTTGACTTTGCCGTCACTAAAGCACCCCTTCTTCCACTGTCACTGTCCTGCACCCTATGTGACATCAGTGTGGTTCCTAACAGGTCCAATTTGGGCCCTCACCTCCAGCCCAGGATAGGGGATGCTTGGCACTTGACACTTGATTTGTGCTGCTGACATCTGGCAAGCAGAGACTGTCACACAGTACACAAGGCAGCCTGAGGCTAGGAAGCCCAGACTTGCCTCTCCAATGAGTTCTCCTCCTTCTTCCTCCCCTAGGAAACCCATCCCTAGATATCCTTTTATGATACAAATATAATCCCCTATCTGACCCCTTCAAGGATTCTCTACTGTCCTCAGGGTAATAGGAAGATGAATCCTAAGCTATCATAATGTCTAGTTTCTTGCATGGTTCATGGGGTTCTGTAGACCCCAATGCTCCAGCAAGACTGAAATGTTTTACCATTCGCTAATATGCCAAGCCTTTACATATGTCCACAGCATGTTCCCTGAGTCAGGATTGAGACTTCTTCATTTTGGTATGCACATTGAAGATCTCATTGAAATACAGACTGTCTCGTGATATGTTGCGGGGAGAGCTGTGCGTTTCTTGAGGCTTCTAGGTGGCATTGACACTATAACCATACCTTGAGTGGCTAGGATCTGGAATAGTGTTTCTCAAGCCCCAAAAAAGTGGACATGAGAATGATATGAAAACATAATGAGGAAAGACAGATTGTCAGAATCCACCCTGCCCAGTTTAATATGTCTAGTATAAAAATTTGCATCTCAGAAAAGCTGTGGACTGTATCTCAAGTTATAAAGCCTCCTGCATTTCTGCCTTACTTCCCACCATCTCCTTTCTGTCTAATTTCTGAGTCATCAGCATTCTCTGCAGGGTTCCTAAAGAGCCTTATTAGTGCCTATACTTTGGACCCCACAAATAATGCCAAAAGCTGGTACCTCCACCCACATGATGAGCTGAGGACATCCCTGTGCTTTGCATAGATGTGGGGGTTGCTCCTCTAGGCTTAGAATGCAGGAAAATATCTCAAAGACCCATACAATACCTCAATGATGTTCTGAAATAATGCTCACAAGTACACCTATTAGGCACCCGAGGGACTCAAGGCTGGTGGCAATCAACTGTGTCTCCCTATAAGCATCTCCTTAACATCCCAATAGGATAGAATTGTTTTTTTGTTTTGTTTTGGGTGTTTTTTTTTTTTTTTTTTTTGGTTTTTCAAGACAAGTTTTCTCTATGTAGTTTTGCGCCTTTCCTGGAACTCACTTTGTAGACCAGGCTGGCCTCAAACTCATAGAGATCCACCTGGCTCTGCCTCCCAAGTGCTAGGATTAAAGGCATGCGCCACCACTGCCCAGCAGAATTGTTTTATTTGAAAGCATTTTAAGTCTATTTTCAAAGCATTTCAGAAGAGAAATGCTGTTTGAGTGGCTGACCAAAGCAGGCAAGACCTGTCTGGGAAGAATTCAAGTGTGAGGGTGACTATGAAGATGGAAGCAGATGGCTGGATGAAGGGGAAGACTGGGTTCCAATCCCAGGAACCAGCATAGGCCTCTGTATAGGAGACAAAATGAACATGGGATGTGGGGACATGAGCAAAAACTACATCTGGATAAACACAATGGAATCAGGTTTGGTTCCAGCCGTCTGGACAACAGAGGGGTCTTTTGGTGGGAACCATTCCTTGAGTTAATCAAATCTCTTTTTGTTTTTGTTTTTTATCTCCCCAGAAATATCCTAGAAGTGGTTCCAATATCTGTTCACTACCATTTTTGGCCAAGATCTGCCAGAAAATTGAATTGTATGTATACTATTTCTCCTATTGAAGCAGTTATGACATCTCTTTGCTTGTTTTCTGGGGACTAAACTGATGTGCACATTTAAAAGGCATCCTCCTGAAATTGATCATGTTTCTTGCTCAAAACTTGGCTTGTACAGAAACTAAAAGAGAAACCCACTTTGAACAAAATAATTTTGGAAATATATCACAGGCAATCTCAGCCCCAGTGAGCAGTGTCCCAGTGAGGGTTTCAGGCAATCATTACTTAAGACTCAGGGGAAGGCTCTTCTTGCCACATATCGTGTGGAAGAGGTTGCCTGCCACCTTCCTGCACTGCTTTAGGGACTTTACCTGATTCGGGTAGTGAGCGAGAGAATGAAGAAAAAAAAAAAAAAACAAGCACACAGAGACAGAAAGGAAGGCTGGGGTTGGGTGGACCCAGTTCTCTGATGGAGAAGCCTCAGGCCCCCTAAAGCTCAATGTGTTTACTATATAGAGTAGAACAGAAAGGCAGGCTTACTGCATACAGCTGAACTAGGAAGATGAGTTATTACGCATAGTTAAACAAAGAGGCAGGGTTTATGGTATACAGCTGGACCAAGGAGGCAGGTTTAGTTAATCTCTGTAGGAGCAGAGTCTGTAGGGTAGTAGTCTTCAGGCAGCAAATATCAAGATGGAGGAAACGATGGTAGACATCTTCTGCACACACTATCAACATCTATGCAAGGTCAGAGAAAGGCTTTACTATCTCTCTGGGTCTCACCCGAGGGAGAAGGCTTTGCCACTTTCTCATTGGTCTGAGTCGATATGATCCTTTCCATGGCTGTGTCCATGTCAGCAGCACACATTTACTCAGAAATTCTCTCACTCGGGGCTTCCTCCACTTCTCACAGTCAGCACTGGTCATGGCTGTAACCACAGAAAGACACTACCCCAAATTCTACAACCCCCTAATCTCCCGCCACCACCACCAATAAACACTCACGTCAATGTCATTTCCTGGGCTGAGGGATGAGGCTCGATAGTAGACCATCATCCCAGCTAGCACAAAGGTCTTGGTTCAGTCTCCAGTGCTGTAGACAACAACGGCAAAACTACCTCAGATCTTAGCTTCACCCTATGTCTGAGCTTAAACTAAACATCATAGAATTAATATTCCAAACAGTAAGACACATGATGACTTGAGAATCAAAACAGTCCAGCTTCCTTCTTGCTCTCTGTGTTAGTAAGAAGAATGGACAGCTCAAGGGAAACTCACACACGCACGCGCGCTCTCTTCAAAGGCTAACTCTGGAAGAGCTTCCTCTGATGAAGCCCCATCCCCTTCCACAGTGCCACCACCTGGCAACCAAGCCTTCTACACAGAAACATCCAGGGACATTTTAGCTCTAAAACTTAACTCCAAGCCATAAAAAAGTAACAACCCCCAGGCCATTGAGGACCCAACACCTCCACCCCTGAGTGTACGTAGCTCCATGTATCCTTTACATTCCTTTTCAGAGTTTTGTTTTTTGCTTCTTTGTTTGTTTTTAATCTTGAGTTGATTTAAAGAACATGAGCCACTTAATGTCTTTGGACTTGTTTTCCCATACCTAAAATCAAACTATAAATTGAATCCTTGCTACCTCAGCACCATCTGAGAGCCTTAAAAGCCAACCGAGTGAGAGAGCACTACATTTTTCCAAACATTCTCTAGGTAGGTCTTGGATAATTTGTCCTCAAATGTGACCCCTGGCTATCTGTGTCCAACAATTGCTTGTGCATCAGGAGACAGAGCTAAAATAATGCATACACAAGTAACACTTTAGTGGATGTGAGCTATTCATGTAGACCACAGCAGCATCTTCTCTTCTGTTTTCTCTTGCTTTCCTGAGGGAGCTCTTGTTACTTTATTCCAATCTGTTCCAGCCTGGCTGTCATAGATAGAGAAGGGAAGACATGAGAATGCTCACAGATGCCAGAGACAGGCTGCAGGAATGCTCTGAGGAGCTGGGTCAGTTGCTGCTGCTGCTGCTGCTACTGCTGCTGCTGCTGCTGCTGCTGCTGCTGCTGCTGCTGCTGCTGCTGCTGCTGCTGCTGCTATAACAAAGGATCACAATGTATGCTCTCTTAGTCCTGGAAACCAGAAATTCAAAACCAAGGGCATCAGAGCTATGCTCCTCTGACAGATGCTCTCGGTAGAATCATTCCTTGCCTCTTCCTGGATGCTGTGGTAGCCATCAATCCTTATAGCTGCACCCCTCCAGTCCCCACCTTCACTTTCCATTACATAATCCCCCACCCCCATGTTTGTTTTACCTCTTAGAGCCTGCCTGTCGTATTTGATGAAGGTCCATTCTAAGGACATCAAATTAACTTAATTACATCTGCAAAGACCTACCTGTATTAAGGCCCAGTTCACAGCTACTGGGAGACGAACATAATTCAAGCCATGATAAAAGTTTTCCTGTGCTCCACCATTCACTATCTCTTTTTTATGTTTTTTTATTTTATTTTATAATTTAATTTAATTTTACATATCAGCCACGGATTCCCTAGTTCTCCCCCCCTCCCGTGCCCCCCCCCCCCCGCCTTCCCCCCAGCCCACCCCCCATTCCCATCTCCTCCAGGGCAAAGACTCCCCTGGGGATTGAGTTCAACCTGGTAGACTCAGTCCAGGCAGGTCCAGTCCCCTCCTCCCAGACTGAGCCAAATGTCCCTGTATAAGCTCCAGGTTCCAAACAGCCAGCTCATGCACTGAGGACAGGTCCTGGTCCCACTGCCTGGATGCCTTCCAAACAGATCAAGCTAATCAACTGTCTCACTTATCCAGAGGGCCTGATCCAGTTGGGGGCTCCTCAGCTATTGGTTCATAGTTCATGTGTTTCCATTCATTTGGCTATTTGTCCCTGTGCTTTTTCCAATCTTGGTCTCAACAATTCTCGCTCATACAAACACTCCTCTTTCTCACCAACTGGACTCCTGGAGCTCCACTTGGGGCTGGCCATGGATCCCTGCATCTGGTTCCCTCAGTCATTGGATGAGGTTTCTAGCATGACAATTAGGGTGTTTGGCTATCCTATCACCAGAGTAGGTCAGTTCGGGCTTTCTCTCGACCATTGCCAGTAATCTGTTGTGGAGGTATCTTTGTGGATTTCTGTGGACCTCTCTAGCACTTTGCTTCTTCCTATTCTCATGTGGTCTTCATTTACCATGGTCTTTTATTCCTTGTTCTCCCTCTCTCTTCTTGATCCAGCTGGGATCTCCCACTCCCCTAAGCTCTCTTTCCCTCGACCCTTGCCCTTCATTACCCCCACTCACGTCCAGGTTGTTCATGTAGATCTCATCCATTTCTCTGTCTTTGGGCGATCCCCGTGTCTTTCTTGGGGTCCTGTTTTCTAGGTAGCCTCCCTGGAGTTGTTAGTAGCAGTCTAGTCATCTTTATTTTACATACCATGTTTGTCTTTCTGAGTCTGGGTTACCTCACTCAGGATGATTTTTTCTAGATCCATCCATTTGCCTGCAAACCTCATGATGTCATTGTTTTTCTCTGCTGAGTAATATTCCATTGTGTATATGTACCACATTTTATTTATCCATTCTTCAGTTGAAGGGCATCTAGGTTGTTTCCAGGTTCTGGCTATTACAAACAATGCTGATATGAATATAGCTGAGCAAGTGCCCTTGTGGTATGATTGAGCATTCCTTGGGTATATGCCCAAGAGTGGTATAGCTGGGTCTTGGGGGAGATTGATTCCTAATTTTCTAAGAAAGCGCCATATTGATTTCCAAAGTGGTTGTTCAAGCTTGCATTCCCACCAGCAGTGGAGGAGAGTTCCCCTAGCTCCACATCCTCTCCAGCATAAGCTGTCTTCAGTGTTTTTGATTTAGCCATTCTGACAGGTGAAAGGTGGTATCTGAGAGTCATTTTGATTTGCATTTCCCTGATGATTAGGGATGTTGAGCAATTCCTTAAATGTCTTTCAGCCATTTGAGCTTCCTCTGTTGAGAATTCTGTTTAGTTCTATAGCCCACTTCATAATTGAACTGTTGGCATTTTGATGTCTAATTTCTTGAGTTCTTTATATATTCTGGATATCAGCCCTCTGTCAGATGTGGGGTTGGTGAAGACCTTTTCCCATTCTGTAGGCTGTCGCTTTGCCTTGTTGACCATATCCTTTGCTCCACAAAAGCTTCTCAGTTTCAAGAGGCCCCATTGATTGATTGTTTCTCTCAGTGTCTGTGCTACTGGTGTTATATTTAGGAAGTGATCTCCTATCCCAATGCATTCAAGACTACTTCCTACTTTCTCTTCTATCAGGTTCAGAGTAACTAGATTTATGTTGAGGTCTTTGATCCTCTTGGACTTAAGTTTTGTGCACAGTGACAGATATGGATCTATTGCAGCCTTCTACACGTTGATATCCAGTTATGCCAGCACCATTTGTTGAAGATGCTTTCTTTTTTTCCATTGTACAGTTTTGGCTTCTTTGTCAAAAATTATATGTTCATAGGTGTGCAGATTAATGTCAGGGTCTTCAATTCGATTCCATTGGTCCACATGTCGGTTTTTATGCCAGTACCAAGCTGTTTTTATTACTGTAGCTCTATAGTAGAGCTTGAGGTCAGGGGTTGTGATGCCTCAAGAGGTTGTTTTATTGTACAGGATTCTTTTGGCTATCCTGGGTTTTTTGTTTTTCCATATGAAGTTGAGTATTATTCTTTCCAGGTCTGTGAAGAATTGTGTTGGTATTTTGATGGGGATTGCATTGAATCTGTAGATTGCTTTTGGTAAGATTTCCATTTTTACTATGTTAATTCTTCCTATCCATGAGCATGGGAGATCTTTCCATTTTCTGACATCTTCTTCAATTTCTTTTTCCAGGGACTTAAAGTTCTTGTCATATAGGTCCTTCACTTGCTTGGTTGGTGTTACCCCAAGGTATTTTATATCATTTGTAGCTATTGTAAAGGGTGATGTATCTCTGATTTCCTTCTCAACCTGTTTGTCCATTGTATATAGGAGGGCTACTGATTTTTTTTCAGTTGATCTTGTATCCTGCTATGTTGCTGAAGGTGTTTATAAGTTGTATCAGTTCCTTGGTTGAATCTTTGGGGTCACTCAAGTATACTATCATGTCATCTGCAAATAGGGAAAGCTTGACTTCTTCCTTTCCAATTTGTATCCCCTTAATCTCCTTATGTTGTTTTATTGCTCTGGCTAGAACTTCAAGTACTATATTGAACATTCATTATCTCTTGAGCTTCATGAGGACTACATTTGCTGAAGATCCCTAGGCTGCCATTAAGATAGCTGGAGAAAAGAGGAGGCAGCTGTGATTCTGACCCATTTTCAGAGTCTCTTAAGAATTGAGCCGGGCGGTGGTGGCACACGCCTTTAATCCCACCACTCAGGAGGCAGAGGCAGGCGGATCTTTGTGAGTTCAAGGCCAGCCTGGTCTACAGTGCAAGATCCAGGAAAGCCACAAAGCCACACAGAGAAACCCTGTCTTGAAAAACAAACAAACAAACAAAAAAGAATTGAAGAGTGACAAACTTTTCCTAGCTCATCTGCCAATAAGAGCCCCGCAGCCAGCTGGTCTGAATCCCAGATCCAGTAGCTTCACCCCTCTCTGGGGATAGGGTTATGTAGATGTAACCAACTGTCTTTTTAAATAAGAAACACAGAACCAATGCAAAGAAGAAAGCCAAGAGGTCAGAGCTAAGAGCTAAAACCTTACCCTTCCTCCTGTGGTGGTCCTACCTCTCCGAACCAGAGCTACTTTCTGTGTTAAAGTCTTTATATAGAGTTTCTGTTCTGCCTTCTCATTGGTTGTAAACCCAACCACATGACTGCCTTGTCACGGCCTGTCTGTAAAGGCCTCCAGGTTTTCTATGATTGGTATTGAGATTAAAGGCATGTGTATCCAATACTGGCTGTATCCCTGAACACACAGAGACTTACCCAGCTCTGCCTACCAAGTGCTGGGATTATAAGCGTACGCCACCACTGCCCTGCTTTCCTATGGCTTGCTAATAGCTCTGACCCTGGGCAACTTTATTTACTAACATACAAATAACATTTTAGTACAAATAAAATATCACCAGGTTAGACACAGAGAGCCTCAAGTTATGAGGAGAAGAGACTGTCAGACATGAAAGAAGATGCTTCAAGGTTGAGGTGCAGCCAGCTCCCCAGGTGCCAATCATTTCATCATGCCTGTTTTGAGCTGATTTGGGACCCCTATCTCTTCTTTAATGGCACCATTGAAGTTTCCAATGATATCCAAGTGATAACTCTTTAATTGAACTACCTTTGAAATTTTGAATTCAGGAGCATCTGGGGCCATGGATTTTCTTGGCCCAACTTAAAAAGAAAATTATTCCTTTATGATAAAAGCAAAAACAGCACGTTTTATTCTCTTTTAAAGTCACTGTGATTCAATTTTAATTTGTACCACACCATAATGTATTTGGTAATTTATGACTTACAACGCACACGTAAGTGCAGCCTCATTTGCCCTTTAAACCAACCTGTGCTTCAGTAATCATCATCAGAACAAATTAGCTGGTGCTTTCTACACATCAAGGACCACTGTGTATGTTGAGGCAGGCACTATTATTGTCCCCTTTCAAACATGTAAAGTTACTCTCTAGTGGCCACAGATCAGCCTCTGCTCCCACTGACCCTCTAGACTCCCAGCCCTCTTCTTATGTGAACAAATAGATTGTAAATGCCCACCCTACTTGTTTTGAGCTCCATTTGGATGCCTTTGATTCAAAAAAACATTACAAAATCCCACAAAGTCCCATGTTACTAACACTAAATTTTAGGTTCGAGGCACAGCCTCATCCTGCCCCATGACTACAACCTTCTGCTGTCCTGTATCTGATTTCCCCCAAATGGAGGGGAAAGCAGTGGCTCCATTTTGCAGCAGGGAGAGTCCGGGAGCAAGGCACAGAGAGTCCTTCCTCTTAGAGTATCCATAACTTTGGTCTGATTTATGCTAGCTATCATGCCTGTGTCCTTGGCTACCCAGTCTCATAAGGAAGAGTGTAAGTTACTAGCTAATGACCATTAAATGCCCAAGATTCTTACAATGAGTGGTTAAATAAAAGTGTTTCTTAACAAAGGGGTTAAAGACAATTGTCTTAGTCACTGTTCTATCGCTGTAAAAAGACACCATGACCATGGCAACTCTTATAAAGGACATCATTTAAGTGGGGCTGGCTTACAATTCAGAGGATTAGTTCATTGTCACATGGCGGGGAGAGTGGTGGCATGTAGACAGACATGGTGCTGGTAAAGTTGAGAGTTCTACATCTGGGCACAGGCAGCAGGAAGAGAGAGACAGTGGGCCTGTCTTGAGCATTTGAAACCCCAAAGCCCACCCCCCAGTGAAACACTTCCTCCAGCAAGGCCACACCTCCTAATCTCTATCAAGTACTGCCACTCCCTAATGATCAAGCACTCAAATATATGAGCCTCTGGGGGCCATTCCTGTTCAAACCACCACAGGAGAGCTGGGGTTCATTGGCTAGATCCAACAGGTAGTCTGTATTTCCTAAGTACCATAACATTGATATCCCATGTTTCCTACAACTCTAACTCATTTATTTTACATCTCAGATGGCCCACAATAAACAGAGAGAAACTGTTTGAATGGAGAGCAATGACTGGCCAAGTGTGGCTGACATTCCCATGAGCTACGCAGACTCTGGGTTTTATTTTTAGATCAGTGTCTGAAACATAAACAACCAGTATCTGCACATGTTTATTTTCACAAACATCTTTTTTTAATCTCACCAGGCACTTTGTTTTCCTTCCTAGATCTATAAAGAAGGCTGTGCCATTCAAAGATGTGGATTCTGACAAATACAGTGTTTTCCCAGTGAGTATTGCCATGAATGAGTATGTGTTCACTCCTTATTATATTTCATCTACAAAATTCTTCCCTTTAATAAGACATGACTGAATTTCATTTGATGAACATACATCAGTTCACAATTTCAAGGGCTTTTTGACTTCATAAAATCACCAGCCATCAAAGCAAACTATAGACCCAGTTCTGTTTTCTCCTCTCCCTGTTCCTACCTGCAGTTCCCCAGTGGGCTATGGTTACCACAAGGGTGGTGTCAATTATTTGGAAATTCATAAACCTGCTTGGGCTTACTTTTTCAAGTGTGTGCGTGAGAGACAGTTTGATTTAGACTTGTTAAGATGCCAAAGAAGTTTCTGGGGAAACAAACAAAGGGCCTGTCCTCAAACCCCCATAGGATGAGAGACTGCAAGAAGGAACATTGTCGGATAGAATTTTGATCCCTGATTGTTTTAAGCTCTTCAGCAATGTACAAATCCAAATGATTTGCAGTTGACTGTAGCTAGAGTTTTCCTGCCTGGCCCACAGTCAGGACAAATCTCTCTCACCTGCCAGTCCCACAGCCGCTCAGACCCAACCAAGTAAACACAGAGACTTATATTGGTTACAAACTGTATGGCCATGGCAGGCTTCTTGCTAACTGTTCTTATATCTTAAATTAATCCATTTCTATAAATCTATACCTTGCCACGGGGCTCGTGGCTTACCGGCATCTTCACATGCTGTTTGTCATCGTGGCAGCTGGCAGTGTCTCTCTGACTCAGCCTTCCACTTCCCAGCTTTATTCTCCTCCTTGTCCCACCTACACTTCCTGCCTAGCCAATGGCCAATCAGTGTTTTATTTATTGACCAATCAGCAACACATTTGACATACAGACCATCCCACAGCAGTTGACATACATTATTTTTGAATTACCCAATGAAAAGTTTCATCACTGGCCAAATAGATGAATTATTTTATATCCTGAGAAGACTAGTGGCTAACCAAACAACTGAGGAGCTGGACAGTCCTGCTGTTTCTAGGAGTATACATGAATGCATATATATATATACATATGCATATATGTAAGGACACACGCATATGTACACACATGCACATACATACAAATACACATACCCTAACACCTTCACACATAGGCACACACCCAATGTCACCCATCAACACACATTCATTTATGCATCCCACTGTTGTCTCGGTTTGGTGTCATATTATATTTTACCTCACACAGCTTATCTTATATTAATCTTAATTTCCCTACTTATCTTCAGTATTTGAGCTGAAAACCTGTGGATGTCAACATGCCTTAGATAGCCCTGATTAGCTTTCACTGTGGGCCATGTCAAAGCTGGACTAAGCCCTTCTGTGTGTGCTCTTCGATTTCAGACATTGCGGGGCTACCACTGGCGAGGCAGAGACTGTAACGACAGTGACAAGACAGTGTACCCAGGCAGAAGGTAACTTTTATTGGAGACGTGAGACACGATGGCTTTCCCCAACCTGGGGATCCCTAGTTGCAGGGAGAACAGTTGTTTATCCAAATATGCTTACCAAGAACCTTCTACTTGCAAAGCACTTGGGGTGGAGTTAGGCACTAAACAAAACAGGAAGTTGCTGCTTCGATGGCATGGCATTCTATTGAGAGAAACTAGTTACACAAAAATGACTGCAGACATTGATACAGCCCCCAAGTGGGTTCTTCAGTAAGGTAGACCTGGGAGTTGTGTCCTGTTCCCTTAGAGCAAGGTATGGACTCCAAACACTAAGACCCATGCCCTGCTTGAGTCGTGACCTGATGGACAACAACCGTAGCTCTGCCTTCAAGACATGGCTGTGACACCCTTTGCTGTCACAGGATTGCAATGCTGGAACAACAAGCTGACCAGGGGATGCACAGCTCACAGGCAGTGTTTGCAGCTTCACCTTGCTAAAGAAGATGGACTGCAGACTTACTCCTTAGGCACACCATTCCACAACTCCATAGACCACAGGAATCCTCAGTCATTGGAAAGACTGCCTTCAAGCTGAGGTTCCCAGAACTGCTCCAAATCAAGAATGCACAGGCTACATTGTTGTATGATATTTTGTTTGCATTCCAACAAACACAGCTTGCCTGGAGATCAGATGGTGGAGCTAGCCACTAGTTAACTACAGAGGCCAGGCAGTGGTGGCATATGCCTTTAATCCTAGCAATTGGGAGAAGGAAGCAAGAAGATCAGGAGTTCAAGGCCACTCTGAGCTGCATGAGACTGAACCAGTCTAAAAGAGAAACAGAGCCAGGTGGTAGTAGTGCATACCTTTAATCCCAGCACTAGGGAGGTGGAGATAGGAATATAAAGTGGGTGGAGACAGGACCATGGGCCCATTCAGTCTGAGGATTCCTAGAGACAGGATGATTCCCCATTCAGTCTGAGGATTTGCAGAGACAGGCCGACCCATTCGGTCTGAGATTTCGTCGAGGTAAGAACTCTCTGGTGGCTGGCTGCTCTGCTTCTCTGATCTTTCAGCTTTAAACCTAATATCTGACTCAGCGTTTTTATTGTTAAGACTAATGAAGATAGCGCTTCACTAAGTGGCAGCTTTTGTATGTCACAACACATATAGGGTGCTCTTCCTCGAAGAACACTATTATCTTATGGTGTAATTTCCCATGACACCCATTTACGAAACTAACACTCACTGAGCATTCCATATATGCCAAAGACTAATGCTGATGTTTTCTTCATAGGCCGCACAACTGGGATGTCCATCAAGACTCCAACTGTAATGGCATTTGGGTAAGCAATGGTTAAAGTTGAACATCATCTCTTACTTTCTGCCTTCCCCAGTGTGGATTTTCTTGGGCCACACTGGGAAGGTGAGAGCCCAGGGAACTCTTCCCCTGCTACTTGCACGAGGGATAAAGATTTTCCATCACATAGGAAGACCAGCAGTGGTGTCAGAACTGGGGCTTCCTCAGAAACAGCCTGTTTAAGCCAGGCTGTGGTCGCTACTGTCTAATTCCTTTATTCTGTTTGTTGTGTGATGAATTGGAGTTGATGCTAGCACCCTTACAGCACCCACACAGCTGTTGGGAAAAGCCACGTGATGTTGCCATTTTGTTACAGCCATTTTTGTTTTCCTTCATAAGCCTTGTCAGGTCGCATAGAAATTACCCTGCGTGCACCACTCACACCCTGAAGCTTCTGGCTGTGCTGCCCCAGTTCTCTAGATACAATGGGTTTATAGCTTTCAGGGAGAGAGAAGGGAAGAAAGCAGAAATCCAATCCAATACTTAACCTGTGGGAAGCAATGGCTGCAGCTTCGTGTGTTATAGTCATCTGACATTTACATGATTTGATGTAATCCTTGTGGAGAACAAAGAAACCAACTTACAAATACAAACTCAAGTATAAAAGTAGACAGTCACTTAGAAACATGAAGGAAATCCTAACAAGTCATCAGAGTCTTGCAAAGTCAGGTCAGTTTCTTTTGTTGTTGTTTTTTGGGTTTGGTTTTTTTTTTGTTTTGTTTTGTTTTGTTTTCTTCTAAGCCTGAAGTGCTTGCATAGAAATACTTACATCTTATCAATGACAGCATGGCCTCTCTGCTCTATTGAGAACAGTAGTTCTCAACCTTCCTAATGCTGCAACCCTTAAAGATGGTTCCTCATGTTGTGGTGACCCCCATCCATAAAGTTATTTCATTGCTACTTCATAACTGTAATTTTACTATTGTTATGAATCATACCGCAAATATATGATATGCAGGATATCTGATATGTGAGACCCAAGACGGTCTTGACCCAAAACTTGAGAAGAGATGACCTAGAAGGTTCTGGAGCTCCCAGCCCCTCCCAGTACCTTCACAGGCAGGAGCTGTGCAAACAAGGAGCCTTAAAGATAAAGCTTCCTGGCTTTGAAGGAAATTGTTGTTTCATTTTTCTGCTTAGTCCTTTTTCTCTCCCCAGGACACCAGTGGCTCAGGCTTGCATTAGCAATCCCTATTGTGTGCATCGAGACCTGTGGCTTCTGGTATATAAACAGCATGACAGATAACTACTGTGTCAACCTCAAACATTCTACCCTCAGTCATGCTACCTCTTTATGGGATAAAAAATCTATACTAGAGCTCAAAGGTGTAGAGGACTCCAAGGTAGCTCTTTTTGTGGTAAATCCAAGTTTGGTTGTCTTATCTCAGGACAAAGGATTAGTATGTGGGGATGTTGTCTTTGTCCCATGGTCTCCACTGTTTGTGACACGGTATACCACCTCTGTAAGGAAGGGGCCAAGCACAGACTGAGAGAAATCCACTGTGAGTTCAGGTGGCAAAACCTGAAGCTCATCATCACTAACTCGAAAGACACAGCATCTTCATGTCTTCACACCTGTCCCTTTCTGCAGAGGAAAAATGACTCAGAATCACAAAGTCAAAAACAAGGAGCCTGCAGTCATCAAGGCCGCTACTTACTGCACAGTGTCGCCTGGCTCCATTGTTGACTGTGATGCGAATAGGTGTATGTGTGTTGAGGGTTGGCTCTTGTCATCGGTTAATTACGGAAGGCACAAGGGCCAGTAAAGCTGGATGCTTCTGCTTCCTTCAAGACTTCCCAGCATGTTTCCATGCACATTGGAGCCTTCAAGACCAGGAGCAAGAACTTATTGTTTCCATCATATCTACGTTCACCAAGCACTTTTGTCTTAAAATATGACTAATGTCTCTTCCAAGGGACAGGTGCTGCACTAAGTGTCTCACTTCACTTTGGAGGCTCAACTGTGATAACTCAGTCACACTCAAGACCAACTGCCCTTCTTGGGTTTCTTAACCCTTGAGTTGTTGATGTTTGAGTTAGACATATCATCTTAGAGCTGTAGGGTATACTGCAGCCTCCTATGTTTCTGTCCACAATATATCAAGAGTACCCCATTCCACTGTGACAACCACAAGTGTCTCCATGCTTCATCAATGTTCCCTGGATTGAGTGTGGGTTGAAAGGGTGAAATGGATGAAAATTGGTGTTCCTGAGATGTCTGGATACTTTGATCTCCAGCTCAGAGACTATAGAACACACCCTTGACCTACATCCCCAAGACTCAGTCAGCCCTCAGTGCTCCAAGGAGAGTCATTCCTGTCTCTGCTCCTCTTCTAAATGGTTGCCCCAGATTGCTCTGAACGAATGGGCCCTCATTTCTTGTTATCTTCCTGTTCTATCCTCAATTCCTCTTAAACCCAGCTCATTACATGGAGTATATGTTGGATTAGGGACCCAAAAGGCTTCAAAGGGTTTTATCTATTGATTTGCCTTTGCATGTTAAATTCAGTTGGGAAGGATTTAGTGTATGTGTCTCATAAATTTAAAATCACACTGCTAATCTCTTCATTTCTCTTTTAAAGGGTATTGATCCAAAAGATGGCATTCCATATGAGAAGAAATTCTGTGAAGGTATGAACTAAAAGTCAGCATCTTACTACAGTAGATACTTCTTTTCTAGTTGAGTCAAAGTAAAGAGAAAAAAAAATCATCTTTGTGAGGCAGAGCCTGAGGTTAGCAGTTACTTTACAGGGCCCATTTAGATGGGTTTTCAAAACTGATCAGAAAAAGACAGGAATAGAAGAAGAGGCAGATCTGGAAGATGCAGAATGTAATTTGTTTAATTGGCTCTTTCACTTGGGGACTAGAAACCTTAATGATAACATCAGGGAAGACTGCAGGGCAAATAACAGAGTAATCAGAAGTTGGGACTTTTCCAAATAACGACATAGGAAGTAATATCTAATCATTTGCATGTCCTTTTCAACATACATTAAGCTTAGCCACACTATACTGAGGAGACAGTCTCTAATGGTGAATATCTGAATGACTTAAGAGAGAAGCCAAGCTTCAGCCTGCAGATGCTTCCAGAAATAACTAAGCAAAAGCTTCCTACTCTAAAAACACAAATGCCTGGGCATGTGAGCCACCAGTGCTGAACACCGACTCCAGGGGTAAACCAAACTAAGGCACTGTCCCTGTGTTGTTACTCAGTGCTTCTCTGCTCCCCAGAAGATGGGTTTAGTCATGCACTCACTCAACAGCTGTTCCCTGGATAACCACTCTAATTATCCCAAAGGCGACCTTTTATACTTGAAAAGGTCAATCTAAAGAACCTTTGTAAGTTCTCAGAGGGGAAAAAGGGAGGACTGGAAATTGAAAGGTCCGTTGAAAAGTTATGCAAATTAGAAATATTTGTTGAGTGACAGAAAGAACAAATAAGTTTGTAACCAAGCCTGGTGGCACAGGCCTGTAATCTCATATGCTCATATGTTGAGGCAAGAGATTGAATGTTCAAGTCCTGTTTTGGCTTCAGGGTGATTTCAGGCTGGCCTGAGCAAGTGAATGAGATCCTGTCTCAAAATAAGATGTAAAAAGATGGTTAGAGATATAGCATAGTGGTAGAGTATTTGCTTAGCATGTGCTGGGTCCTAAGTTCGATCCTCAGTACTACAAGAAGAAAAAGAAGAGAGAAGACTATGAGTAACTCTGGAGTTTGGGGAGCAGCTCCGTGCTAAAACACTAGTTTAGTATGCATGAGGCCCAATGTTCAGTTCCAGAATTGTAATAAAATAATAACAGCAACAACTGCAGATGTAGATGAAATTCTAAACCTTCTGGGCTAGCGAACAGAGGAAGGAAAACCCCTGAATCTCCACATCCCACCACACTGCCCTCTTAGATGCCCTAGACCCTCTTATTTTCCATTCTTGTGGCTCAGCAGCAGCTTACAGAGAAGCCAAGGCTAGGGAACCATTACAATAAAGCTGGGCCACCCTCTGGCTCACTCCAAGGGCTTGGGGATGGAGGAAGGAGAGGTCTCTGACTCTAGAGGGATCATTTGATTTTTCTAGGTCCTTAAGAGGATAGAGGGTATACCCACCAGTAAGTGATTTGTGTAGATGTGTCTCTGAATCTGATTAAGTGACTCTTACATCCAGACATGCAGGCTGCACAGAGACCTTTCTATCTCCTTCTCTCTGTTTTTCAGCCAGAATTGTCCATCCAGTGCCTTTGTGTATGTGGATTTAAGGACTTTAAGAGACCATCACATCTTTAAACTATAAAAATTGCTCCATGAGGTCATTAACTCTTAAAGAGAATCAGTGTATTCTCTAAGAAAGCCATTTCCAGAACCAAAATTTAGGACATATTTCTGAACTCAGATCAAGTCTAGTTCTTGTGTTCATCCATCATTCATTCTGGATGTTGTACAGCCGTTGCTTTTACGCTGAGCCAGGAAGCACACCTGTGTTTATGCAGCTTAGCTAGCAGTTCAGCGGCTGAGAAATTTCATTCAGCTCCTGAACGCTCCCCTCACACTCTCCAACACACGAAAAGTGGCAATGTATCACTGTTAGGATGTACTGTGCATTCAATGCACACCAGGCTATCTGCTCGAATAGCTACTCGCTCTGGAGGCTGCCCACTCCTTGAGTACATAAATAATGTAAATAAATTGTGCTTCCTAGGTTCACAGCCCAAGGGAATCATTTTGCTGGGAGACTCAGCTGGGGCTCATTTTCACATCCCTCCTGAATGGCTGACAGCTTCGCAGATGTCTTCCGTAAGTAATTGGGGCAGTACTCAATCCGGATGTGCTGGCCTTTGCTTTTGTTCCCTGTGCTCTTAATGGGAAGCCAACTCCAAACAGGTGCAAATTTCCCTTTGTAGGCAGACGCAGGCAAAGGTTTCTCCTCCTCACCTTCCCAGCCTCATCTCACCTCCTGTCAGAAAAGGCAAAGATGGCAGTTGAGAGTCAAGACAGCGGCTGGTGTGCAGAAGGAGCAGTCATGTGCTGGCTTCTCCTGGAAGTCAGGAGCATGGAGAGTGTTTCCAGCCTGGAAGCTGTCTATAAGCATGCTGAGGCTAGGCAGAGCAGACTGCTGGGCTCTTGAGAGCTACTTCTGTGCTTCATGGGGGGACAGCAGGGGACAGAGAATCTGCCCCACACACACACACACTTCTGAAGAACAGAATGATCCTGTAAGGGTTTTTTCAGTGAAGAAAATAACAAAGACAGCCATAATAAATAATGAGAGACTCAGAGACAAGAGGAAAGGAGGAAGACACCAAGAGTCACTGACCCTATCAAACATGGGCATTGTGAGAGGGGTCTCCATGTGTTAGATGATCACATCATGAATACAGGCAATCACCCATATCTGCAGGTCCCGTACCCACAGAATCAACCCACTGCAGATGGAAGCTGCAGGCCAGCTGTGCTGACGGCATTTGTGACGGACGTGTGTGTCGGCTTTCGTGGACCTCTGCAGATCTGTGTCTGTGAGACCTGCCATAGGTCGAGGACCTTAGAACAGGACCGATGACAGTCTAATGCTGCAGACAATTTTTCTTAGTTTCAGTGTATTGTTTTTACATGAATGAAACAAAGAAAGCAATGATCCAAGGAAGGTGGTTTGAGTTCGGAAAAACATGATCAGAAAAACATGTAAATAAACGTCAGTAAGCATCTACTAAATATTAACAGATCAGCCCCTTCCCAGAACTTTCTCAGGACATACCAATTTAAATATAATTGTCTGACACGCAGTATAGCTTATATCTGGGAAGGCAAAAAAAAAAAAAGGTTATATCCAGATTCAGGGTACAATAAGGATAGCGTTCAGCATATCCTTTCAACAGATTGGGTTCTACAGCTATCTTCCAACATCCAACAAGAATAAACATGTCTTATAAATTGAATGTAAATGTTTAACACAGGAAGCATGAAATCACATCCAAGAACAATCCAGAGAACAAAATGAACATGAGGTAAAAGGCCCTCTGCCTTTTTTCCTGGAGTCTCTCTCTCAGTTCCCCAAGACATCATTCACCATGTGTCATTCTTTTGACTGTGTTTTGACAGACATATAAAGACTTTTTCTTGTCATTATTCCTTAAACAATACAGCACATTGCCTGATGACGTGGCACTCCTATTGTATTTGACATTATAAGTAGTCCAGGGGTATTTAAAAGTATCTGGAAGATGTGTATCAGTCATATGTAAATGCCATTCCAATTTATATAAGAGACTCGAGCATCTATAATTTTGGTATTCAAAGGGGCTCTGGAACCTTCCCCCCAAATCCCAAGGGACTATGGTATGTGGCGAAAGAGGATGACAACTGTGTGTTCTCCAGTTCTCACCTGCCGGGTTATCACAAGAGCCATTTTCTTCCCCAGCTGAACTGTGCAAACACCTAGGATTTATGTGACAAAGGATGAGAGCCAGAGAGAAGGGCAGGACAGTCTGAATGGCACACACCCAAACAAAGGGTGCTGTGCCATCTGCAGTTTCAGCTTCCTAAGGTGAGAGCTGCCATGAGAGGATGTGCCAACACCTGTACCGGAACCTTCTACATAACCGTCAGGGCCAGTACTAAGTAAAGTAATTAAAATGCAAAATAGAAATGTGTGTGGTAGTACATGCCTATAGTCTAATCCGTTGGAGACTAGCCTTATCTACATATTGAGTTTGAAGTCGGCCTGGGCTACATGAAACATGTTTTTAAGAGTTTCATTAAAGATGCTGTGCTGGCTAGTTTTATGTCAACACGAGCTAGAATCATTTGGGAAGAAGGAACCTCAGTCTAGAAAATGCCCACATCAGATTTGCTATAGGAAAGTCTGTAGAGCATTTCATTGACAGATGATTGATGTGGGAGGGCCCAGCTCATTGTGGGCAGTGCCATTCCTGAGCAAGTGGCCCTGGGTGGCATAAGAAAGCAGGCTGAGCAAGCTATGGGACGCAAGTCAGTAAGCAGCACTCCTCCATGGCCTCTGCATCAGCTCCTGCCTCCAGGATCCTGCCTTGAATTCCTGCCTTTGACTTCCCTAAATGATGGACTATAATCTGTAAGGCGAAATAAACCCTTTTCTTCCCAGCTTGATTTTGGTTATGGTATTTTATCATAACAATAGAAACTCTACTAAGACAAAAATTGGTACCAGCTCATGGAGTATTGCTTTGACAGACCTGACTATGGGCTTTTGAGAAGATTATGGAAGAACTTTGGACTAGAAAAGCCATTGAGCAGTCAGAGCTTAATGAGCTATAGTGGAAACTTAAAAGACAAATGCTGGGAGCTTGGAAAATAAAGGTGTTGAGAAAAATGTAGACGATGGAGACATGGCTTGTGGCAATTCAGAGGAAAGTCTGAAAATCTCTTAAAGACTTGTGGTGGTTTAAATGAGCCCTTCTAGGCTCATATATTAGCTGGCTAGATGAACTATTTGAAAGGGTTAGGAGGTGTGATCTTGTTGGAGTAGGTGTTTCCTTGGTGGAGGAGGTATGTTGGTGGGGTAGGCTTTGAGTATTTAAAAGCCCATATCCCCACTTCCCATGGCTGCTGCCTATGAATTAGGATGTAGCTCTCCACTACTTCTCCAGCACCATGCCTGCCTGCCTGCATGCTACCATGCTCCTCACTATGATAATAATGGACTAACCCTATGAACTGTAAGCCACTCCCCAATTAAATGCCTTCTTTTATAAGAGTTGCCTAGCCAGGCAGTGGTGGCACAGGACTTTAATCCCAGTACTCAGGAGGCAGAGCCAGGTGGATCTCTGTGAGTTCGAGGCCAGTCTGGTCTACAGAGCGATCTCCAGGACAGGCACCAAAACTACATAGAGAAACCCTGTCTCAAAAAAAAAAAAAGAGTTGCCTAGGTCTTGGTCGTGGTTTCTCTTCACAGCAATAGAACAATGGCAAAGACAAGACTCTATCAGGCCTTTCAATATTTTTAATTAAGTATCTGTGATGTTTGATCATCTGAAGAGTTGGCTGTAATAAGCAAGAGACCAGCACCACTGAAGTAAAACATTTACTTCACTGGAACAATTGATGCTGGTGAGCTGAAGCTGAGAAATTATCTGTGATTAAGAAGAGAACAGCTGTAGCTAGAGTTTTCCTGCCTGGCCCACATTCAGGACAAATCTCTGTCACCCACCAGTCCCACGGCCACTCAGACCCGACCAAGTAAACACAGAGACTTATATTGGTTACAAACTGTATGGCCGTGGTAGGCTTCTTGCTAGCTGTTCTTACAGCTTAAATTAATCCATTTCTATTAATCTATACCTTGCCACGTGGCTTGTGGCTTACCGGTACTTTACATCTTCCTTGTCCTGATGGCGGCTGGCAGTGTCTCTCTCCCCCAGCTTCCTGTTCTCTCAATTCTCCTCTCTGTTAGTCCCGCCTATACTTCCTGCCTGGCCACTGACCAATCAGTGATTTATTCATTGACCAATCAGCAACACATTTGACATACAGACCATCCCACAGCACTTCCCCTTTTCTTTTCTTAAAAAGGAAGGTTTTAACCTTTACATATCTCCAAAGTCAGCTTGGTATATTTGGGAATTTGGGCGTAGCTTCTCTTACTACTTCCTGCTGGAGGGGGGCGCTGTATCTTATGGGGACACAAAGAATATTTTAGGATTATGGAGTAGTCCATGAGGGTGTATCGTCTGAGCCAGTTGCCTTGAAACGGTTCTGGATGTTGGATCATCTGGGCCATGGTGTCATCGGAGACCTTTCAGGGGGTCTTGGCTGGTCAAACCTGATGTATCTTAATCTGGAACAAATCCATAGCCTCTGGCTTTCTGTGGAAACAAAAGCAGAGCCTCCTTTCCAAAGCAACATATCCTTACATCCAAATTTTGAAGTCAAGGTACCTTTAAAATATACATTTTGGCATAACTCAACAGGTTTTGTAATCAAATGTTATTCTTTAGTTACGAATATCAAAGAGAACATAATCCAGATTCTTTGTGTGGTAGCCATCTTTACGTGGCTTATTTTTTTATATTAGCTTGAGCCTATTGCTTTGAACTGCAGCCTTCTAAGCCTGAAACAGCGCTGGCACTGCTGGCTCCGCCCAATTCAGCTTCCCAACATGGCAGTGATACGTTTTCCGCCAGCTCTGGGAGCCATCAACTCTCAGAAATAGTGGGTCTATGCTTCTATCAAAGCAGCGTGTAGCCCAGAAACCTCTTTTTTTTTGTTTTGTACTAGCAAAGGCTAAATCCACCACACAGCTTAATGTGCCACTTGCAGAGGCCTCATTCCCGCCATACTGCAGGTCGAGCATGCACGCCAGGAACCCGCCATAGTAGCTCAAACACACAGGCTGCCGCTAGCTTAAAAGAGACAACTAGGAGCTGTTTTTAGCTCCGTTTTAGAATCTTTTTACTCAGGTTTTAGGTGGAAACTCTTGCCAACACGTTGGGCGCCATTTGTAGCTAGAGTTTTCCTGCCTGGCCCACAGTCAGGACAAATCTCTGTCACCCGCCAGTCCCACGGCCACTCAGACCCAACCAAGTAAACACAGAGACTTATATTGGTTACAAACTGTATGGCCGTGGCAGGCTTCTTGCTAACTGTTCTTACAGCTTAAATTAATCCATTTCTATTAATCTATACCTTGCCACGTGGCTTGTGGCTTACCGGTACTTTACATCTTCCTTGTCCTGATGGCGGCTGGCAGTGTCTCTCTCCCCCAGCTTCCTGTTCTCTCAATTCTCCTCTCTGTTAGTCCCGCCTATACTTCCTGCCTGGCC